AGATGGAACTGATTTGAGCTGGTTGTTTCATAGAGAAAATATTTTCAGCATTTTGTTAGTTGTTTCCTTCCAGTCTGAGCAGTTTTGATCACATGGTAGGATTAACAGCTAGTCTAGAAGTTACAGTAGGCTGTTGAAAGCAATTCCCAAGTAGAATCAGGTGAAGGTTTGCTTTCTGTCCAAGATATGATAAACTCGTACCCAGACTCTTTGTGACCAAAGGAGAAATGCCATAGGGAGAGAGGAATTGAAGATGTTAGGGAGATGGAAGATAATTATCTTTTGGTGGGAAGAGAAACCAAGAAATACATTGTTGTTACTTAGTTGCTGGGTCCTGTGTAACCCTTTGTGACTCCGGTCTGTAGCCCGCCAGGCTCCTCTGTTCATGAAATTTCCCAGGCAGGAATATTGGAGTGTGTTGCCACTTCCTTCTCCAGGGGATCTTCCTGACTCAGGGATCGAACCCCCATCTTCTGGATCTTCCACATTGCTGAGCAGATTCTTTACCGCTGAGCCCCCAGGGAAGCCTAGAGTGTAGGTGGCTGTAAATATATCCTGTAGGAAGTACATAGAGCCATAGAGATGTTTCAGGCAATCTTTCTTGTTTTTACTGATGAGAAACTCACATTGAGACGTGACTCGCCTAAAAGTCATGTATACGTTCGGAGAAGACAATGGCAACCCACTCCAGTACTCTTGCCTGGAAAATCCCGTGGTCGGAGGAGCCTGGTGGGCTGCAGTCCATGGGGTCGCTAAGAGTCAGACACGACTGAGCGGCTTCACTTTCACTTCTCACTTTCATGCATTGGAGAAGGAAATGGTGACCCACTCCAGTGTCCTTGCCTGGAGAATCCCAGGGACGGGGGAGCCTGGTGGGCTGCCGTCTATGGGGTCGCACAGAGTCGGACACGACTGAAGTGACTTAGCAGCAGCAGCAGCATGTATACAATGTTAATCAAGCAGCTGGAATTCAGACTATCTCGAAATCCATGTACTTCACATCTTCCAACCTAGTCTGAAATACCCTGTCTCCCTGCTAATTAAATCCCTTTTTAAATGTCACTTTGCTGAATCTTTCCCTCTTAAAGTTCTCTGAAGTCCCTCTCTTTCATACACAATAAATTTTTTCCAGACTTAACTTCTTTGTGTAAACGTTTATTATAGCAGGCTTATAATCACACTATGTTAGCTGAGTTTGTTTTCATGTCAGTCTTTTACTCCCTAAGGGTTGGAGAAACATCTTTTTTATCTTTAACCCCAGCACAGAGACTGGCAGAGTACTAATGCTCAATAAAAAGGCTCAAAGAGTGCTCAAACTACCACACAATTGCACTCATCTCACATGCAAGTAAAGTAATGCTCAAAATTCTCCAAGCCAGGCTTCAACAGTATGTGAACTGTGAACTTCCAGATGTTCAAGCTGGATTTAGAAAAGGCAGAGTAACCAGAGATCAAATTGCCAACATCCTCTGGATCACTGAAAAAGCAAGAGAGTTCCAGAAAAACATCTATCTCTGCTTTCTTGACTATGCCAAAGTCTTTGACTGTGTGGATCACCACAAACTGTGGAAAATTCTGGAAGAGGTGGGAATACCAGACCACCTGACCTGCCTCTTGAGAAACATGTATGCAGGTCAGGAAGCAACAGTTAGAACTGGACATGGAACAATGGACTGGTTCCAAATAGGAAAAGGAGTACATCAAGGCTGTATATTGTCACCCTGCTTATTTAACTTATATGCAGTGTACATCATAAGAAACCCTGGGCTGGAGGAAGCACAAGCTGGAATCAAGATTGCTGGGAGAAATATCAGTAACCTCAGATATGCAGATGACACCACCCTTATGGCAGAAAGTGAAGAAGAACTAAAGAGCCTCTTGATGAAAGTGAAAGAGGAGAGTGAAAAAGTTGGCTTAAAACTCAGCATTTGGAAAACTAAGATCATGGCATCTGGTCCCATCACTTCATAGCAAATAGATGGGGAAACAGTGGAAACACTGGCTGACTTTGGGGCTCCAAAATCACTGCAGATGGTGACTGCAGCCATGAAATTAAAAGAAGCTTGCTTGTAAGAAAAGTTATGAACAGCCTAGACAGCATATTAAAAAGCAGAGACATTAAAAAATAAAAAGCAGAGACATTACTTGGCCAACAAAGGTCCATCTAGTCAAGGCTATAGTTTTTCCAGTAGTCATGTGTGGATGTGAGAGTTGGACTGTAAAGAAAGCTGAATGCCAAAGAATTGATGCCTTTGAACTGTGGTGTTGGAGAAGACTCTTGAGAGTCCCTTGGACTGCAAGGGGATCCAACCTGTCCATCCTAAAGGAGATCAGTTCTGGGTGTTCATTGGAAGGACTGATGCTGAAGCTGAAACTCCAATACTTTGGCCACCTGATGTGAAGAACTGACTCATTGGAAAAGACCCTGATGTTGGGAAAGATTGAGGGCAGGAGGAGAAGGGGACGACAGAGGATGAGATGGCATCCTCTCATGGATGACAGGTTGGATGGCATCACTGACTCAATGGACATGAGTTTGAGTAAACTCCAGGAGTTGGTGATGGACAGGGAGGCCTGGGGTGCTGCAGTCCATGGGGTCGCAAAGAGTCAGACACGACCAAGCAACTGAACTGAATGCTCAATAATGTTTTCAGATGGAAATTATTATTATTATTATGAACAATTTTGACCTGTGGAAATGATTCCAAATGTGTTATTTATATGCCATACCAAAGATATGCACACAGGTTACGTTTGTGGACAAAATTTTGGAAATAAGAGGCATCTAAATAGCCATCAGAAGTCTCAGCTGATAAAAGCCCCTGAGGACTTTGGTATTTTAAGTCTTAGTGCTCAGATTCTAGGCCACTACGAAAATCAGGCAAAGCATTATTCTAAGAAATGATTTAGGAAAAAGGGAAAGTGGATTGAGTGTAAAATAGCTCTGTTGAAAAGGCCCTATATTATGTTTGTTTTTCTTTACAGTTTGTTCATTTATTTTTGTCTGCGCTGGGTCTTTGTTGCTGCTTGTGGGCCTTCTGTAGTTGCGTGAGCAGGGGCTGCTGTGTGTTTCTTCTCTTTGTTCTGGTTTCTCTTGTGGTGGTGCATGAGCTTAGTTGCCCCAAGGCTTATGAACTTTTCCCAAACCAGGGATTGGACCTGTGTCTCCTGCATTGGCAGGCGGATTCTTAACCCTTGGACCACTAGGGAAGTCCTGTGTTTTTCTTGTAAAGGTCTGTTTCTGTTCTAGTTCTTTCCCAAACTTCTTTTCATTTATCCCTTGACAAGTATCAGAATAGATTTGAGGCAAGTTTTAAAAGCAAGAAGAATAGTGGTAAAATAATTGTATTATGGTCAAGAAGAAGAGAATAGAGTCAAGAGCAAAGACTCTTGAATCCCTTGGACAGCAAGGAGATCGAACCAGTCCATCCTAAAGGAAATCAACCCTGAATATACATTGGAAGGACTGGTGCTGAAGCTGAACCTCCAATAGTTTGGCCACCTGATGCAAAGAGCCAACTCATTGGAAAAGACCTGGATGCTAGGAAAGAATGAGGGCAGCAGAAGAAGAGGGTGACAGAGGATGAGATGGTTGGATGGCATCACTGATGCAATGGACATGAACTTGGGCAAACTCCAGGAGATAGTGAGAGACAGGGAGGCCTGGTGTGCTGCAATTCATGGGGTAACAAAGAGCTGGACACAACTGAGCAACTGAACGATAACAACTCATTTACCTATTTGATATAATAATATAGAGGAATCATTCTAGTAACTTCTGTTCCTTTTTTATTTTTATCAATAACATACCGAGTCTATTCAGCACCTGTAGTGGATCATTTTTTAACACCCTTTATGCTACAGAATTATTTGCAGGAAGCATTGAAATAATAACAATACAGTGAATTTTTTCTTTTATTGAACTTCATGTATGTAAAATCATTTAAAATCTCAGTGCAAATGAGGAAAAGTAAATAGTTTTAATTTATATTAGTATATTTTTTGAGAAAGAGGAAAACCATATTAGAATGATATACAATGAATATTGCAGTTTTTGAATCTTCTCTAAATTTAGTAATATTATCAAAATTAATCTTTCTATATTGATGTTCAAAAAAGATTATACCCAGATTTTCATTTATCCTTACTATACAGTCCATAGAATTTTCCAATCAGAATACAGGAGTGGGTAGCCGTTCCCTTCTCCAGGGGATCCTCCCAACTCAGGGATTGAACCCAGGTCTCCCACATTGCAGGCGGACTCTTAACCAGCTGAGCCACAAGGGAAGCCCAAGAATACAGGAGTGGGTAGCCTTTCCCTTCTCCAGGGGATCTTCCCGACCCAGGAATTGAACCAGGGTCTCCTGAATCACAGGCAGATTCTTTACCAGCTGAGATATCAGGGAGGCCCATATTAATGTTCAAAAAAGATTATATTCATTTTAATTTATCCTTACTCATAGTTGAATAAAGAACTTTTTGTTTTAATTTTGAAAAATATTGCATAAAGCAATAGATTACCAGTTATAGGAAAAGTATTTAAGGATGGTGTCAAAAATTCATAAAGTCCCATATCACAGAATATTCCAGAAATTTCAATGCTGTCAACATTTTGCTTTTTGGGATTGATTCTAGCAACTTGAATAGAAAAAAAAAAAACCTGAACACAAAAATTCCAAGTTGTAGAGTGGCAAGTTTGCTGTGATTGAAGTTTACTTTCTTTATTTCATTATTTTAAATCCAGGTGCTTCAGGCGTCTACCTTCTAGCTAGAATGTAGAAAGCTGTAAAGAGGGTGATTCCCACTCTGATAAGGAAAGGCAGATCATCCACAAAGTCATAACTTTTCTTGAATCCATCAGAGAATTGAAGTAACCCAGTGGCCTAAAATTTACACACCGGTGCCTGAGGCTCACAGGGGGGTCGTGCCTGCATGCAGGGGCTTCTGCGTGGTCCTCGTCCGCACTCAGGAGGAACACCCGATACTGGGGGAGAACTGAGATGAGACTCGGTGGTCCGGGCTCGGGAGAGGTGAGAAACTGCTGCCACGGGAAAAACCAAGCCCCGCCCAGGTTCATCTCTGCTAGCTGGGAAAAGCAGTGTCTGCTTGAGGAAGAGAACAGCCTTTCAGCCCAGACTACAGCTGCAGATCACATGAGGCTGGAGAAAGAGAAAAATCCTTGTCCCACGGGGAGGAGGAAGAAAACCGTCCTGGAGCCAGGCCATTGGAGCCTCCTACTGCTGAGAGGGGGCCAGGGCCATGAGGGGCCCCACCCCTTAGATGTGTTGCTGCCAGCCGAGCGCTCCTGGCGAGGCTGCTTCCTGGACGGAGACGGCCACCTTCCTGCTCTGGCCCACGTGGCCTTTCCTCGGGGGGCGGGTGGGGAGAGAGTGTACAAGTTCTCCGGTTTCTCATAACGACCCTGATTCTATTGCATCAGGGCTCCACCCTATTTTAACCTTAATTAACCTTAATTAACTCCTAAAAGCCTTCTTCCAAATACAGCCATATTGTGGGTTAGGGCTTCAGTGTAAGAATGTTGGTGGGTGTTGGGGGGGGCACTCAGTTCTGTCCACAACTATTCACGATGGTATTCATAATAAGGTACCATCCCTTCATACCTGCTGCATTTTCACTGCTTTCTGCCCTTCCTGGGCCCAGGAGCTAATATCTAGATTACCCCCCATTTTCCTGAGGGTCTGCTGCCAGCGACTACTTCCAGTACAAATTTATCTGTAAGAAATCAACTCTAGCTTATTCAAGAAGAAAAGAAATTTGTTAGTGAGGACTCTGGGAGGATCAGAAAATTGAACTCAGAGGTTCTAGAGCCAGAAGCAGTGCCACAAATAATATAGAACTGGTCCTGTGAGGGTCCAGCCTCCGCCGCCAATGCCTAGGCACCCAGCCAGCCCGCGGCTCTGATACCACGAGGTCCGAATGCTGGACACCGCTGCCCCCCGCTTCCAAGGTGGAGTGGCCCCTGCGCTGTGGTGTCACAGTCCGCATCTCAGGGTAGGTGTCGGTGTTTGGTTGACAACATCCAGGTCATGGGTCTGAGCACTTGGTGCAAGGAAGACTGGGAAGGTTGTGTTGGTGTTCATAGCATCTATAGGGGGAAATGGCTCTGTCTCATGGGGTGTTCGTTGGGGGGGTGTTCCCCAAACCCCAAAAGGCCATTCAGAATACTGGCTGTCCAAAAACTGATTAAAGTTTTACTTAAAGATATGGCCTCTTTGGGGTTGAACTATATGGGAATGTGAGGAAGTGGAAACTTTCTACCTGGCTCAAGAAAGACTAATTAACAGAGGTGGGGTGGTTGGCTCAGAGCCTGGAAAACAGATTCAGCCAGCAAGAGCAGAAGTATCTGAGTGTCTTTGATCACTGCCTGAGGATGTTCTGGTGGGCTGCCAGTCTGCTTGAATGGTTGCAGTAGCTGTGAGCAGGTGAGAACTCACTAGATGGCCAGGCATTCTGTGAGGAGTTTCCCATATTTTACCCGCATGACTAGGAAGCACTTATTATTTTACAGGTGAGAAACTTGAGTTGTGAAAGGTCCTATAAGATTTCCAAAATCTCACAGTGCCAGGTGTAATCAGGATTCTGCAGACAACTGCAGCTTTGGGAAGGTGATATGAAGATGACCCAGTGAACTATTCCTGTAGAGTCTACACTTCCCAGACCACATCCAGCTCAGCTTCCCACAGACTTCTCAAGCAGAGAGAAGGAACTGGTAAGTCACTGAACATGTTGGTCTCTGGTTTACACATAGTCCTTTGGGTCTGGTTAATAAGGCCAGTCCCATGGAAGAACTTTTTCCTGACACCACCCCCTTCCCCCAGCAGAGGACAAGACTGACCCCAGCGAGAAACCCTCTGAAAAGTGGAGCTCAGTGATGGGAAGATGTGTGCCTACATAATCAATTATTGTTAACAGTGGTGCTTTTGACATAATGTAGATTCAATCATTTCTTTCTTAAGTAGGTGCAGTTTTGTATAGTTAGACTTACTTTTTTTGAGATGTCTCATTTATCTGAAACTTTAAATTACATAAAACATACCCCTCCTTAAATGTTTAATTAATTCAGTGATTTTCAGTCAATTTACTGAACTGTGTTACTATCACTATGATCCAGTTTTGGAGCATTTCCATCACTTCAGTAAGATCCCACGAGCCAATTTACAGTTAATTGTTGCTCTCAGCCTTAGTCCCAGGCAGTCACTAATCTACTTTCCATCTCTGTAGATTTGCCTTCTCTGGATAGTTCGTATAAATGGAAGCATACAGTATGTACGTCTCTGCATATGGCCACTTCCACTTTGCAGAATGTTTCTGAGCTTCATCTGTGTTGTAGCTTGATCAGTATTTCCTTCCTTTTTATTTCTTGAAGTGAAGTGAAAGTCACTCAGTCGTGTCTGACTCTTTGTGACCCTCTCTGGAATTCTCCAGGCCAGAATACTAGAGTGAGTAGCCTTTCCCTTCTCCAGGGGATCTTCCCAACCCAGAGATCGAACCCTGGTCTCCCGCATTGCAGGTGAAGCCCTTTTATTGCTTAGTAGTATTCTATTGTATATACATATTTTGTTTATATATTTGTTATATATGGATAGGTCATATTTTGTTCATGCATTCACTAGTTGATGGATTCTTGTTTAATTTTACCATGATTCCTTAGATTATTGTTTGCCTACATGGAGGCAGCAGAAAACAGCAGGTGGTATCACCCCAACTCCTCCCTACCATCTTGTGTTCCTTATCATTTTTCCTACTCTCATATTACACTCACCATCAAGTCCTAGAGAGGTTGTGGGCCTCTCAGAAAGCTGGTTGGAAAGGTTTAAACAGGAAGCACTGAGGTGTACTGTCAGACTATGTGGGTTTAAACTTCTTCCTTCTTCCTGAGACTTGGACTTATGGTTTAAATACATCTCTGAGCTTCCCTGATAGCTCCGTTGGTAAAGGATCGGCCTGCAGTGCAGGAGATCCTGGTTTGATTCCTGGGTCGGCAAGATCCGCTGGAGAAGGGATAGTACCCACTCCACTTTTCCGGCCTGGAGAATTCCGTGAATTGTATAGTCCACGGGGTCGCAGAGACTCAGACACGACTGAGCGACTTTCGCCTCACTGAGCTTCGACGGCATGTGTAAATGGAGATGAATGTAGTGGTTATGAGATTATTGTGATGATTAAATGCGCCAGTGTATGTAAAGTGCAAAGCTTTTGAGAAGTTCGTAATTTTTTAAATATTTATTTATTTATTTATTATTATTATTATTTTATTTTTTTATTATTATTATTTTTTCATTTATTTTTATTAGTTGGAGGCTAATTACTTTACATCATTGCAGTGGTTTTTGTCATACATTGAAATGAATTAGCCATGGATTTACATGTATTCCCCATCCCGGTCCCCCCTCCCACCTCCCTCTCCACCCGATCCCTCTGGGTCTTCCCAGTGCACCAGGCCCGAGCACTTGTCTCATGCACCCAACCTGGGCTGGTGATCTGTTTCACCCTAGATAATATACGTGTTTCGGAAGTTCGTAATTTTTATTAGCTTTGGGTGTAGGACTAAAGGTTAGGCAGAACAAACAGCCTTTTCTCTGTTTCACTTTCTTTTAGTTAAAACAGAGCCAGGACAGACTAGGCCATCAAGGATGGGTACACTCTGATCTGACGGTCAGGGCGGGAGAGGTGCTAACTGGCCCGTCTCCAAGGTGGCTGACCGAATCTTGCGCCGTGAAAGGAAGGGGCTCTGTGGGATAAGCAAAAGGGAAAGCACCTCAGTGCTGCTTGGGCTGTATGAGGCCCAAGGAAGCAACTCTTCATCTGAATTCCTGAGTAGGAAAAGATTCTGGCCTTCTTTACCTAATCATCCTGTCCCAACGCAAATGAAGACCTGTGTGTCAGACTCGAATCCTGCAGTATGAGACCCCTCCGCCGCCTTTAGAATTCCCCAGCGGGGCTTCTCCTGAGGCTCTTGCCCTTCTGAGTATCCAGGAGAGATGGTAAGGCCTCCCAGGCCTGCTGGTCTTTGCAGTTATTTTAAGGCACGTTATCATCATCACCTGTTTCCTGCCACTTGCTTCATACTGTGAGATACTCAACCCAGGCCTTCAAGGGTTCCTGCCTCAATTCACAGAGCAAAAGTGTCTTTGCATCTGATAAATGTGCGCTGTCATGATTCAGCTTTTCTAAGGGGGTGACAAGCTGGTTGCAATGCCAGCCCTTTCTGGGCTTCTCTGTTCAACTATTATCGTTAAAAAGTACTCATTATAAGCAGGGATATTAAAATGAAAGGGAACACAGTGAGTAATGTAATCTGCTGCTTCCTGCTTTCACAGCTCTGTTCTCCCCAAGGCCAAACGGTAGTGAAGGCCATGGGTTTGTTCAGGGGCTTTCTTCTTTTTTAGAAATTTTATTGAAGTATAGTTGATTTACAATATTGTATTAATTTTGCTGTACAAAGAGTGATTCAGTTATATATAAATATAATTTTTCATACTTTTTCATTATGTTTTATCACAAGATGTTGAATATATTTCCTGTGTTATACAGTAGGACCTTGTTGTTTATCTGTAATAATAATTTGCATCTGCTAATCACAGACTCCTTATCCTTCCCTCCCCAGTTCCCCTCCCCTTGGCAACCACAAGTTTTTCCTCTATATTTGTGGATGGGTCTGTTTCATAGATATGTTCATTTGGGTCACAGTTTAGATTCCACATGTAAGTGATACGGTATTTATCTTTCTCTTTATGACTTACTTTACATGGTATGTAATCTCTAGATCCATCTGTGTTGCTGCAAGTGGCATTATTTTGTTCTTTATGGCTGAGTAATATTCTTTTGTGTGTATACCACATCTTATTTATCCTTCCATCTGTTGATGTACATTTAGGTTGTGTCCATGTCTTGCTACTGTAAATTGTGTTGCTGTGAATATAGGGGTGCATGTATCTTTTCAAATTAAGAGTTTTCTTCTGATATATGCCCAGGAGTGGGATTGCTGGATCATATGTTAACTCCAGTTTAAGTTTTTTTAGGAACAACCACACTGTTATCTATAGTGGCTGCACCAATTTACATTCCTACCTACAGTATAGCAGAATTCGCTTTTCTTCATACCTTCTTCAGCGTTAATAAATTCATAGACTTTGTAATGATGGCCATTCTGCCTGGTGTGATGTGATATCTCATTGCAGTTTTGACTTGCATTTTTCTAATAATTTGCTATGTTGGGCATATTTTCATGTGCCTATTGGTATCTTTGGCTATGTATGTCTCCTTTGGATAAATGTCTATTTAGGTCTTCAGCCCGTTTTTCATCTGGGTTGTTTCTTTTGTGTTATTGAGTTGTGTGAGTTATTGAGTTGTGTGTGTTTGTATATTTTGGAAATTAATCCTTTGTCAGTTGCAT